TCCCATGGATCCCATCTCATCCCATCCCATCCCATCCCATCCCATCCCATCCCATCCCATCCCATCCAGATGTGCACACAGATGTGCAGCAGCCCCACCACTCCCTGTACCCCAGTACACCCTTGGAACCTCCAGTGCCCCCAGTTCCCCCAGTTCCCCTGGTAGCCCAGGGCTGGTCCCCGCAGGCCTGACGGAGGATGAGGATGTCCAGCGGATGCTCCAGGGGTCCCTGCTCTGGAAGGTCAAGGCCAAGGGGGGCTCCAGGGAGCGGCTGTTCCGCCTGCAGGAGGACGGGGTCACCGTCTGCTTCGAGGGACGCTTCAGGCACGCCCGCTCCCCCCAGAGCTGTGAGTGCTGGGACTGTCCCATGGGGGCTTGGGGACACCATCCTGCACTGCCATGAGCTGTGGGGAGGGACAGGACCTGGGCAGTGCCCCAAAGCCACCCCTAGACCCCCACCAAGGACCTAGACCCTTACCCAGACCCCCACTTGGCACCTGGATCCCAATCCAGGACCACGGCCTCAGACCTGGACTCACACACAGAATCCAGACACCGTGTGAGACCCAGACCCCAATCCAGGACTCCCACCTGGGACCCAGGGCCTGGACCCCCACCCAGGACACAGATCCATTCCCAGCACCCAAAACCCCACCTGGAACCCCACCTTGGACCCCAACCACAGCCCAGTTCCCAGACCCCCACTCAAGACCTGGAGCCCCACACAGAACCCAGACCCCACCTGAGCTCCAGACCCCAACCCAGGACCCAAATCCCCCAAGTGAGAACCAGACCCAATCCTGGGACATGGAACTCCACAATCCAGATCCCACCCAGACCTCCACCTGTGACCCAGATGGCCCCTGGGACGCAGATCCCAGCCTGGATCCCCACCTGTGACTGGACCCTGACCCCCACCCAGGACCCAGACATCCCCCAGCACTCACACCCCAATGCAGGACCTGCAGCCCAAGCCTGGGACCCAGCCCCTCACCCCAGATATGAATTCAATCCAGAATATGGACCCCCACCCTGTACCTGAACTCCGACCAACTCCACGCAGTGGCTCCCAGAGCCTTCCAACACTTCCCAGTGCCTCCCAGTACACCCCGTGCAGAGCTGTAGGAGTCCCCACCCTTCCCCATCCCCCTGGGGTCAGCACAGGGTCCTGTCCCGGCCAGACTGTCCCCTCCCCGGCGTCACCCGTCTCTTTCCAGCCTCTGATCTGGGATGGGTGCCTGGAGCTGGCACCGCTGGGCTCCATCCCCTGCCAGCGTCCCCATCCCCGCAGGGCCGGCGGCCGCGGCTCCTGTCTCGCCTGGGATTAGCGGGTTAAACCCGGCTGCGGCACCGCCAGGAGCCGAGCCCTGTCCCCTGGGGCTCCGTGGGGTGTCCCTCAGCATCCAGGGTGTCCCTCAGCAGCCAGAGTGTCCCTCAGCAGCCAGGGTGTGCCTCAGCAGCCAGGGTGTCCCTCAGCAGCCAGGGTGTCCCTCAGCATCCAGGGTGTCCCTCAGCAGCCAGGGTGTCCCTCAGCAGCCAGGGTGTCTGTCCCTCAGCAGCCAGGGTGTCCTTCAGCAGCCAGGGTGTCCCTCAGCAGCCAGGGTGTCCCTCAGCAGCCAGGGTGTCCCTCAGCAGCCAGGGTGTCTTGCAGGATGCTCATGGGTGGGACCCTCCGGGGGAGCGCCCATCGTCCCTCCCCGCCGTGTCCCCGCAGTCTCGGTGGCGAACATCGAGGGGGTCCGCGAGGGTCGCCGGTCCGAGGGGCTGCGCAAGCACGGAGCCGCCTTCCCCGAGCGCCACTGCTTCACCCTCGCCTTCAAGGGCCGCCGCAAGAACCTCGACCTGGCCGCCCGCGGAGAGGAGGACGCCCGGCACTGGGTGCAGGGGCTCACCAAGCTGATGGGGCGGCTGCAGGCCATGAGCCAGATGGAGAAGCTCGACCAGTATCCTTTGAGGGAGCCCTGGGGACTTGGGGACAGGGTGGGGACGGCTGAGGGTGACGCAGGGTGGTTTCCTTACCCCGGTGCAGTTGGATCCATGGGGTCCTGCAGCGAGCAGACAGGAACAAGGACAACAAGATGTCGTTCCGGGAGGTGAAGAGCATGCTGAGGATGCTCAACATCGACATGGACGATGTCTACGCCTCCAAGCTCTTCAAGGTGCCTGTCCCGTGCTGCACCGCCCGCTGTCTCCGGGAGGGAATTGCTGCCTCCTTCTCTGCCTTCCCCAGCACAGAGAACTGACAAACTCCTCACAGCAAAGCCACCCCCTGCCACCAGTGGCTGGGTCCCAGCGGGAGCACATGGTGGAGAGGGGTGAGGTGGGGTGAGCTGCCCCAGCCACTGTTCCCTGTGTCCCCAAGGTGGGACATTTCTCCCCTGTGGAGAGCTGTCCCTCTGGCCATCTCCTGAGGTCCCTTTCCACCTGGGGAAACTGAGGCACAGAGCTGTGCTCTGCTCCATCCCTGAGTGGAGGGTCAGAGGGCTCTGGATGGGGGAACAGAGGGGACAGTAGCTGAGTCCCCCCAAACTCTGGGGACAGGTGTGGCTGTAGCCCGTCCATACAGGGAGGGGACAGTCCCTGAGGTTGGGCTGTGTCCCATCAGGAGTGTGACCACTCGGGCAACGAGCGCCTGGAGGGCCGGGAGCTGGAGGAGTTTTGCCGGCGGCTGCTGCGGCGGCCGGAGCTGGAGGAGCTTTTTGGGCGCTACTCGGGCGAGGATCGGGTCCTGTCAGCCGAGGAGCTGCAGGATTTCCTGAGGGACCAGGGCGAGGACTCCAGCCTGCGCCAGGCCCGCACCATCATCCGCACCTACGAGCTCAACGAGAAGGGTAGGGCTGAGGGTGTGGGATGATGGGATGGGCACTGCTGGAGCTGTGGGAGGTCATGGATGTAGGGATGGGGCTCTGATTGGTGCCATCACCCCCCAGAACGGGTCCTCCAAGGCTTCTGTTACTGTCCTGGTATCCATTCCCAGGGTGCCCCCAGTGTCACCCATCCAACACACGGCCTGGCTGGTGCCTGGTGGATGTGACACTCTGGGGACAGGGGATGTGAAGGTGGGGATGGACAGCAGGTGGACTTCCACATCTCATGGGTGACATGATGCCAGCTCTGGTATGAATATGACACTGCTGAGTGACTTCTGTCACCCTCAGGTGCCACTGTGGCAGGTCCAGGGCTAACAGAGCACTGGGAGGACAGGGGACATCAGGGTGGGATGGAGGATCTCCGTGTCACCATTGTACCCTTAAAGTGGATGTGGCACTAGGAGGATGGGGGATATCAGATGGGAGATGGGACACAAAGGGGACCTCCCCAGGTGCCACAGTGCCAGATCTGGGGCCATGGCACTGGGAGGACAGAGGGCATCAGGGTGGAGACAGGAAACCTCCACGCCTCATGGGTGTCACCATGCCACATCCAGAGTGAATGTGGCACCAGCAGGATGAGTGACATCAGGATGGATGGGACACTTGAGGGAACTTACATATCCCCTGGGTGCCACAGTGCCAGGTCAGGGGTGACCATGGCACCACTGGGACCTCCAAGTGGGGGAAGTCCCTAGGGTGTCACCCTGCCAGCACCACGGCAGCCCTCTCTGACACCTCCCACCGTGTCCCACAGCCAAGCGGCAGGACCTGATGATGCTGGATGGTTTCATGATGTACCTGCTCTCGGCTGCCGGTGACATCCTCAACCAGGAGCACACCAAGGTGCACCAGGACATGAACCAGCCCCTGAGCCACTACTTCATCTCCTCCTCCCACAACACCTACCTGACCCGCAACCAGATCGGCGGCACCAGCAGCACCGAGGCCTATGTCAGGTGCGTGTCCCTGGTCCCCGTGGAGCCCCGGAGGGTCCCGTGGCTCGAGGGTGCCAGGGACTCATCTGGTGCCGGTGTGGTGGCAGGGCACTGAGGGCAGGGTGCCGCTGTGTGGAGCTGGACTGCTGGGAGGGCTCGGATGGGGAACCTGTCGTGTACCACGGGCACACGCTCACCTCCAAAATCCTCTTCCGCGACGTCATCGAGAGCATCCGCGACTCTGCCTTCGAGGTGAGGCTGGGGCCAGCAGCCCAGGGGTGCTGGGTGTGGGGTGCTGGGTGTGGGGTGCTGGGTACCAGGTGCTGGGTGTGGGGTGCTGGGTGCCAGGTGCTGGGTACCAGGTGCTGGGTACCAGGTGCTGGGTGTGGGGTGCTGGGTACCAGGTGCTGGGTGCCAGGTGCTGGGT